TTTAACTTTTTTTTTTCTTTAGATTTTTTATTTTTCAGTTTCCTAGGTTAAAGTGAAGCCTCGTGGGGAGCAGGAGGGAGGGTTTGTAGGTTCTGATAACGTGCAGGGAGGAGTGAAAGGTGCCTCGATTCCTGTCAGGAGCATTAAGACACATTAAGGACCTTTTCTGTCTTTTTTTTTTTTTTTTTTTCAAAACCTGTCTTGCTTATTACTTTATCTGAATCATCCAGGAATTCTGCCAGCTTTGTAGATACAAAGAAGTTACCTAACCCATTCTCAGGAGAGATGACATCACGCTATTAAAACCAGCCCAGAGACTGCATTCCCTGGGCATGAGCTGGGCTCCCTTGCCAGGACCTCCCTGCCACGTTTGGACTTGTAGCTCTGTCATCAGACCCCATCATGATTTTATATCTTTGCCATATCATATTTTTTAACTCTACACTCTCTGTGGCAGGATGCCCTGCAAAGCATCATGTCTCTTTTTCGGGGTTGTTTTTGCTGGGTGTTTTTCTCAGCTATATGGACAGGTGATCTTTGCTTACCAGAGCCATGGCTGGGAGAGCCCCTGTCATGCTGCAGTCACAGCTGCTGCTGTCCTGCCATGTTCACAGAACCACAGAATGGGTCAGGCTGGAAGGGACCACAGTGGGTCATCTGGTCCCACCTCCCTGCTCAAGCAGGGTGATCCCAGAGCACATGGCACAGGACTGTGCCCAGATGGCCCTGGAATATCTCCACTGAGGGAAACTCCACACCCTCTCTGGACCACCTGTTCCAGTGCTTGGTCACTGCACAGTAAAAAAGTTCTTCCTCATGTTCAGGTGGAACTTCCTGGGCATCAGTTCCTGCCCATTTCCTTTTGTCCTGTAGCTGGGCACCACAGAGCAGAGCCTGGTCCATCCTCTTGGCACCCCGTTAGATATCTGCACGCATTAATGAGGTCCCCTCTCAGTTGTCTCAAGGTTCAACAAGCACAGCTCCCTCAGCCCTCCTCGTAAGATGCTTCAGTTCCCCAGTAATCCTCGCTGCTGTCCACTGGACCTGCTCCAGGAGCTCCATGTCTCTCTTGTCCAGAGGAGCCCAGAATTGGACACAGCACTCCAGATGTGCCTCCCCAGGGCTGAGCAGAGGGGCAGGATCCCCTCCCTGACCTATTGGCAATGCTCTTCCCAATGCATCGCAGAACTGCGTTGGGCTTCTTGGCCCCCAGGGCACACTGCTGGCTCAGGGACAGCCTGCTGTCCACCAGGACCCCCAGATCCATCTCTGCAGCGCTGCTCTCCAGCCGGTCGGCCCTCAACCTGTACCGGTGCTCGGAGTTATTCCTTCCCCTCCTTCTTTCAGACAGCTCGGCCGCGAAGAAAGAAACGAGGTGATGGGAAAGGGCTGCCCACGACCTGAGGGCCACCAGCCCTGTCCTGCCCCGAGCTGTGCTGTCCCGGCGGGGCTCCGGGGCGGCCCCAAGGCCGGGCCTGCCCCAAGGCCAGGCCTCACCCAAAGCCGGGCCCTCCGCGCAGCGTCGCGACCGCTCGTCACCATGGGAACCGGGCGCGGCCGCAAGGCATGCCGGGCTGAAAGAAATTGCTGCGGCAAAACCCTGTGAAACTGCCGTAGTGCGGCCAATGAGCGCTCGGGGTGCTGGCGGCGGTGACCAATGGCCGGCGGTCCGGTCGGAGGGGGCGGGGCCGGGTCGCTGTGAGGCGCGGGCGGCGCGCGCGGGTCGGTTAAACAGCGGCGGCGGCGGAGCCGAGCGTGTGTCGCTGCTCACCGCGCCGGGCCCGCTCCCGCCCCGCCCCACACAGCTCCGCGGCGCACGCCCCACGGTGAGCGGAGCGGCGTGAGGGCCTCGAGCGCTGGGGAGGGGCCGCTCCCGGGAGGGACCGGGTACGGCTCGGGCACCGAGTCTGGGAAGTCCCTGCGCTGGGCACCCCGGTGGCTGAGCACCCCGGTGACTCCACCGTGCTTGGGCTCTTCCCCAGCCCCGCTTTTCTCGCATCCCCGGTTCTGCCGGAGGGACCCTTCCTTGGTGGCGGGGCCGGGTTTGGGTCGCCTCCCTCGGCGGGGAAAGGCCGTCGGGGCCGGGCGATGGAGCGGCCGCGCTGGGCTGGGGAAGGGCTGGAGGGCGGCGGGGCTTGTGTGGGTCCGGCTGGAGAGCGGGTGCTGAGCGGGACGCGGCGTTTCAGCCGCCGCTGCTCGGGCTGTGCCCGTGCCCGACACAGCCGGCAAAGCGCTGCCCGGCCCCGGGAGCTCGCTGGGAGTGGCGGTACAGGTGACTCTGGCAGGTGCTTCTGCAACTTCTGAATTCTCGTCTTGTTCGCCCAGAGCAGGCAATCATGAGCGATCGGAAGGCAGTGATCAAAAATGCGGACATGTCAGAGGAGATGCAGCAAGATGCTGTGGAATGTGCTACTCAGGCCTTGGAGAAATACAACATCGAGAAGGACATCGCTGCTCACATAAAGAAGGTAAGCGTTTGCATATTATGTGCTCAGAAAATCTCTATGCACATGAGAAATCAATCAGGGAGAATGCTGCTGGGCAAGTCGCTCTAGAGAAACAAGTTCCAGACACACTAGATAATCAAGTTGAACTTTTTCTGTAGCTTGATGTCCATGTGTTCTTTCTCCCCACCCCTGTACATGGACCTTTCCAGGTTGTGCTTTTCTCGCAGTATTTTCTGCTTAGGCCTTTTCTGCCACTGTCCCATTGTCCACGTGAGCAGAGTGGCAGCTGACTGTCCCTGTGACTGATGAGCTGGTACAAAACACAGGGGCTCTGTTGAACTCTCCTACGGTTTTCCTGAGAGCAAGCCAGTTTTCCTTGGTTTCAGTTGTACTGAACTTAATCTTAAGGATCTGTTTGCAGTTCTTGCCAGCTGGGTCAAAAATTGCAGGGAAAAGTACTGCAAATCTACTGTAATCGCACCTCTTTTTTTTTTTTAGTGATATAAGGAAAAAAGAAAACCACAAGAAAAAAATCCTGGGGGTGTGGATTATCTGTTGTTTGCAACATCTGTGTCATCCTTTATGTAGGATTAACAATACAGGAGAAAGATCTAGTTCAGATTATATTTCCTGCTTCGTCAGCTCGGGGGAACGGAGAAATCAAAGTGCGTCAGTAGAAGTTAAACTGATCTGAGTGGAAGAATTGTTGAAATGTTAAGGCTTATTGGACTGACACTGTCTGGAGTGAACTGCTTGGTATTAGAAGCTAAATTTGCTCAAGTCTTAGTCTGCAAGCTGTGAATTTTCACACAGATATGTTGAACTTTTACCAAACGCTGGAAGAGGGCCTCCAGAGCTGGGTCAGGCTGGAAGATAAGGAAGTTATAACTGTCAGCAGAAAACACAACATTGGAGATAGAAAACAGGCTGCCCAGAGACAGTGGAAAGAAACCAGACCCTAATATTGTTATTGGTCCAAACTGTTGTGTGAAGGGTGGGAAACTGAGACTGGGAGAATGTAATTGCCTGGGGATTTATGTGTTTGGGGTCCTTCTGTGAAGGCACCCAGCTCGAGCTGTTCTACTGCTGTACCTTACTGGACTTAAAGCCTGAGGCTCTGCTCCAGTGCCCCAGGGGTGGAGACACCTTGAAAATACAGAATACCTGGGGTGGAGGAGCAGTTCAGCTAAGCAGAATGATTACTTCCACTAGATGAATACTCATTTGCTATGACCACAGTACAGAAAGGCATTTTTTTCTCTAGGTGCAGGAACTATCTATGAGAGTAGAAAAGAGTTTAATACTTTTCAGATACTTTTTGTAGCAGTTACTGGGAATTCTTACAGGATTTGTTTGAAATGTGTGTAAAGCACAACTTCTTAGACTTGTTGATCATACTGCTGTTACAGAGCATGTGGCAGAGAATTTTCCCTTTAGCACAATGAAGTCTAAATGATGGCTTTGTCTCTGTAGGTACAAAATTAGCAGTGAAGATTTTACTTGAGGGCTGTAGATTCAGATCATGGTATGAATTATGGGCGAAGAAAGACTAATTTCCCTGAACAAAAGTAATGTTTTAAATTTACTACTGCTCATATGAGAAATTCTGTGGGGTTTTTATGTCTTTGACTAAGCAGCAGGTGAACAATAAGATGTAAATAAGATAATCCCAGTACTTTAGAGCAGCTGTTCTTCCTCGATTGCCGTGCTCACAAAGTGAATACCTGTTAGAATTGTTCTTAATTTGTAGTGATCCTTTTTGCAGGAGTTTGACAAGAAATACAATCCCACTTGGCACTGCATCGTGGGAAGGAACTTCGGTAGCTACGTGACTCATGAAACCAAGCACTTCATCTACTTCTACCTCGGCCAAGTTGCTATTCTTCTTTTCAAGTCTGGTTAGAACCATGGACTGTTACTGAAACTTGCATCCAGTTACAGGACTCTCTGACTAGTTACTGCAGCCTTCTTAAGGACACAGGCCTTGATTTTCAAGGGCAATGGCAGGGATTGTTATAGCAGATGATGTTACATCGTGGATATAAAAAGGAAAAGTACCAAAAAGTCTTCCTTGTATTTATTTTTTTTCAGAAGGCTCCTCCTTTGCTAGTAGAGCTGTTGGAGCTGTTTTTCTTTTGAGAGTTCTATAGCCATCTACTGTATTTCCCCATTACTGCTAGTGCTATGCAAGTACTGACAGTGTTTAGTTCTTTATGTTCCAAGCCTCTCTTATTTTACTTTTTTAAAATATTTTCCTCCCTCTTGTTTTGCTGGATGTGCTGCCCCAAAGCCTGAACTGTTTCTTTTCGTGCTGTCTCTGGAGAAGTGCTTTGGAGAATAAAAGACAAGATCTAGTCCAGCCAGGTCGCTGTTTCTGGCTCATTTGTGCTGTCGTCGCGGCGGTGGGTGACTGGGGCCGGGGAGGGGCGGGTTCTGGGCTCGGTGTGCGGGGCTGCGGTGTCCCGGGTCCCGCAGCTCCCGAGGACTACGAGTCCCGTGGTGCCCGCGGGCCCGGCTCCATCCGCGTCCGGCCCCTGCTGCAGGCGGCTCGTCGCCACTGCCGGCCACCGGCGGTGATCTCGGGCACGGAGCGGAGCTGCCCCCGGCAGCAGCTGCCGAGGCCCAGGGCGGTAAGAGCCGGGCGGGGGCGGCGGGGCTTGGAAGGGCTCGGGCGGGGCGGTCCCGGCTGGAGAGCGGAGGTTTAACATGACCCGGAATTTCAGCCGCCACTCCTCGGGCTGTGATTCTGGGAGCTGCTCCTGTAACTCGAATCCTCTTCTGCTCGATACAGCCAAACATGGGCGATCAGGCAGCTGTGCTAAAGGATACAGACATGTCTAAGGAGCAGGAGGGTGCTGGGCAATGTGCTGTTTTGGCCACAGAGAAATAGCATATTGAAACAGAACTCAGAGCACTTATGAAGAGAATGAATGTTTGGTTGTAATTATCCTTTTGTTGAACACTATCCACACTAGAAGTCAAGCAGGGTGGGTGCTGTGACACTTTGTGAAAGCTAAATTCCATGGTCACAATATACTTTGGACTTTTCCTGTGGGCTGGTGTCACCTCTCAAAGAAATCTCTTCCCAAATACAGAATATATGAATGCAGAGCTAAATGCACAAGTAAGGCAATAACCCAAAGCTGCAGAGAGGGTCGCTGTGGTTGGGACTGGCCTCTGTCAGGGACAAGTGGGAGCTACAGCAGCCCTTGGCCTGGGTTGAAGACAGTCTGTCTGGCCAACTCACAGTGACTTGCTGCAGGCAAGGACTGCGTGGGAAGATGTGTGGAGCCTGGAAGGTAAGCTCAGTGCCCTCTGTGTGTTTGCAGTAGCCGCAGTCCCAGCTGAGAGCAGCTGTCTTACTGAGAAGCAACTCAAAGACTCCTCCCCAAATCCAGGGTAGGATCAAAGCTTTTAGTTGGGCTGGAGGTAAAGGAGGGTGCCCAACTTGGGCTCTGCTTCTACAGCAAATCGCTCAGCCAGGGAGCACCGGGAGCGTTTTAGCCGAGTCTCCTTCCTGTCCATCGCAGCGTCGTCAGTATTACAGCTGTTTTAGGCGGAGCTCAGGCCGCAGCCGGTGTCCCCGGCGGTGTCCCCGGGGGTGTCCCCGGTTACCGCGGCCGCTCGGCCGGCGGCGTCCCCGTCGCCATGGCAACGGGAGGGCGGCACGCCGGGCTCGGGCACCGCCCTGTCCCCCAGCCGCTTCTGGCCAATGAGCGCCGGGCGTGCTGTGATGGTGGCCAATGCTGACAGGGGGCGCGGAGGGGTCGGGGCCGGGGCGTGAGGGGAGCTCTGGGCCGTTCCCCAGCCCCGCTTTTCCCGCATCCCCGGCTCTGCCGGAGGGACCTTCCTTGGCGGCGGGACCGGGTTTGGGTCGCCTCCCTCGGCGTGAGAAAGGCTGTCGGGGCCGGCGATGGAGCGGCCGCGCTGGGCTGGGGAAGGGCTGGAGGGCGGCGGGGCTTGTGTGGGTCCGGCTGGAGAGCGGGTGCTGAGCGGGACGCGGCGTTTCAGCCGCCGCTGCTCGGGCTGTGCCCGTGCCCGACACAGCCGGCAAAGCGCTGCCCGGCCCCGGGAGCTTGCTGGGAGTGACGGTACAGGTGACTCTGGCAGGTGCTCCAGCAGCTTGGAGTGCTTTTTTTTGTTTATTACAGGGAGCCACGTGTGATCAGACGGCTGCGATAAAGGATACAGGTGCATCAGAAAAGATGCAGCAAGTTGTTGTGGAGTGTGCCAGTCGGTCTCTGGAGAAGTGCAGTACCGAGCATAACACTGAAGCTCATTTAAACAGGATGACTGTTTCTTCATAATGTTTTCCTATTAAACATTATTTTGGACTTAAGGAAAATTTATCAAAAATGTTGGTGTGCAAGTAGTTCTATAGGTTCAAGTTCTGTGGACTCTGTTTAAGTTCTTTGCTCTAGAAAGAGAACTTGAATAGTAAAGGTAAGTTCTTAGTGGTCTCCCTTGCAGGATTTTGACAGGGAATATATTTAATGTATTCCTACCTGGCAGTGCACCGTGGGAAGGAATTCTGCAGCTGTGTGACTTCATCCTCTCCTGCCTGTGTCCTTTTCTCCTCAAGGGTTCTCAGAACCATGGACTGTTTCTCAGACTGATCTCGTGATTCAGTTGTGTGCTAAGGGCACAAAGCCTGGTGCCTTCAGCCTTCCTGAGGAAGCAGACCTTGGCCTCCAAGGGCAGCGGCAGGGATTTCATTGGCATGGTTGTTTTTACTGGGAGTTGGGGGGGACACACAACTTCCTTGTATTTATTTTCTTCCCACAGCCAGCTTATTTGCAAATAAAAATGTTCTGTTTTGCTTGTTAAAGTTTTGTGGCTCTTTATTCTTTCTAGTAGTGCTCATGCTATTACTCATGCTATTTCCAATTTCCTCGTGAATGGGGGTGACTAACTTCGTTAGAAAGTTGATTTTCTCTCAAATCCAGAAGATCTAAATCGCTGTTATAACCATACTCATAATGTGTTCAGTAATTCTAAGAGTAGTAGACATAAACAGGGGAAAAAACAGGAGTTTAAATAAGGCCTTTCATGAGGTTTTTCTTAAAATAATTTTTATAAAGGATTTTTTGAAATGTGTAAAGCACAAATTCTTAGATTTGTTGATCTGGTGTTACAGGGCACGGGGTAGAGAATTTTTCCTTTAGCAGGTGCAGTAGATGAGCAAGGAAATCCAAATTATGGCTTTGTCTCTGTGGGTACAAAACTAGTATTGAAGCTTTTATTTGAGAGCTGTTGATTCAGATCACGGTATGAATTACGGGGGGAGGGATGTCCTTAAGTGCTCCACCCCTATTGTTCTTGAAGAAAAGGGAACTGCGCTCCCATTGAACTTGAAGCCCTCACCCCTAAAATAATGGGAGGGGACCAGGAGCTGCATTCAAGATCTGTGTTATTTTGAAGTTGTTTTTTTTTTTTTTTAAATGCCTTTAGGATCTCTGTTGCCTCGTGGGGTCTTTTCCCCGTTTTGCTTTCAATGACAAGCTAAAAACTATCGCTTCAGTTAGTCACGATGGTTTTTTTGTTTTGGTTTGATTTGGGGTTTTTTTCACCACTTTTGCTGTTATTTGCTGCAGGTCGGCGGCAGTGATTTGCTATCAGACGGTGTTACACCCTCCCGGGGGGTGCCGGCGGAGGGGCGGGCGGGGCTCGGTGTGCGGGGCCCCCGGGCGGGGCTCGCTGTGCGGGGCCCCCGCGGCTCCCGGCGCCCCGCGCGGCCGAGGACTACGAGTCCCGTCGTGCCCGCGGGCCCGCCCGGCGCCGGCTCCATCCGGGTCCGGCCACTGCTGCGGGCGACTCGTCGCCATTACGGGGCAGCGGCGGCCGAGCCGGGGCCGGTGCGGCGCCGAGCAGCCGGTGGGTGCCGGGGTGGGGCGGACCCCCTCGGGCGGAGGCAGCGCCGGGCCCCGCGGGGCTCCGTGAGCAGCTCGTCCCTTCCCCCCCCCTCCCCTTCTCCCGGAGCCCCGCAGGCCCGGCCCGGCCTCCCGCGGCCTTCCCCGGTTCGAGCGGAGCAGCGAGAAGATGTCGCCATGAAGGAGGCCGAGGCCGCGCTGCGCCGCCCCCGCCGGTCGCCCCCGCGGGCCATGAGCCTGGGCCCCCGCCGGCTCCGCCAGCGCCCGTCGTGCCCCCCCGCCCTGGGCCGCCGCTCGCCCGCCGGGGCGCCCGTTGATGCTGCAGAGCCCGCCCGGCGCCACCCCCGCCACAGCCACAGCCCCCGCCATGGACAAGAGCAGCCCCTGCGGCTCCGGAGCGCCCGGACCCTCGGCCGGCAGCAAAGGGCAACAGCCGCGGTCCGCCTCGGCCGGGCCCGCCGCGGGGGAGTCTAAGCCCAAAGGCGGTGAGAGCCGGGAAGGGGCTCCGGGGAGAGGGATGGAAAGAGGAGGGAGGGGGTAACCGTGGGGCAGCGGGGGCCCACGGCCTGTGCCGCGGTTGGGTTCGTGGTGAAGCTGAACTTGGCCTTGTCGGGTTGTTTGTCTCTCAGCTGGGTTTTTAATAGGCGGCGTTTCAGGTCACTGCTTGTTTTTGGTTTCTTTTCCTTCCTCTTCCGGCTCTGCTCACTCTTCACAGAGCTGGGATTCCCACTCTGTCTTCCTTTAAGGATTAGTACTTTATCTTCATTACTATTGGAGTAATCAGCTTTAGAGCTAAAGCTCTGGTTCTATAGTAAGAACATAACGTTTGCCTGTGAAGAAACCCTTAACTTTGTTCTGTACTCAGTGTGTTGTTGCACCTCACTAAGGATCTGATACCCTACAAAGCATTCCCCTTACCCCGGTGTTTGTGACCTGCTTTGGGGGACCTCACAGTTAGATGTGTGTTGTTTGCTCATCTGGCATTCAAGCCAAAGTGTCACAGCTGTCGTTGCAAACAGCTGGTTCTGCTGACAGAGCAGTTCACCAGGAGTCAGGATGGTTCCTGTCATCTTTCCACGGTAAGACCTAAGCCCACTCTGGTTCTCTAAACATGCTGGGGAGCAGAGCGTTCCTGGTAACCTTGCATTTTTTTTCCTAAAACTAGAAATGGGGCAGTAATGATTAAAATTAGTGGTTTTAATCCTGGAACTATGTGAGAGGGTGTCAACAGGTTACTACAACACCATTGCTGTACTAATTTCCTTCCCCCTCAGTGGTTTGTTTCAGCTGTATTACTTTGGGTCTCTCAGAAAGCAGCAAGTGTACCCCAGAGAGTTAACAAAATGAGTATCTTTAAGGTGTTTGTTGACTTCTTTTTAGACCTCCTAAATGTGCTCGTGTGGTGGGTAACCAAGTATTACCTGCTCTTCACCTCTATTAATTGATCTTCCACAGGATTGACAGAAGTGGGACACGGGAAGTGACTCACCCACAGCTCCTCAGGTTGTGGTGTAACTGTGCAATTACAGTGAAATTTTAACTTCAAACACGTAAAAGTCTTTTTAGGGAGAACTTTTTCTGTCCCTGTCTTGCCAAGAGACACAGATTTTTGTGGGATGTCACGTTTTACAGGCTTGAAACAATGCCACTGGTAGAAGAGGAGTGGTGAGGAGAGGAATGCTGATGACCACGCTCTTCTACTCCAATATTTCTCATTTTCAAACTTTTTAAGACCTCTTTTTTTAATAAAACAGAGGACAATTTTGTCTTGGCATAATTCTACCTCTGTGATACTTGTTTCTTAACTACAGTGGAGGGCAAAGGGATGAGTTGCTTCCTTTATGATGCATCCAAGAGGCCTGGCAGAATTAGAATCTCTTTTCATAGGAGTGGATGTTTAGGAAAATCTTAACTGGAGGGTACTGGCAACTGAAATGAGATTCCCTTAGTCACATTAGGGCAAACAGCTACACAGGATGCAGCTGTGTTAATTGTGTGTTTTGGTAGCTGTTGCACGTAGGACGCTGGCACATCACCATATAGGATTTTTTCTTGAATTCCTTGTCACTGGACATGTAGCTGATGTGGTCCACCCAGTTTCTCTCCTCTTTTCAGGAAAGGTGTAGGATGTGTTCTGAAAATCTTGTTTCTCCTCTGAAATGGAAAGTATTTTTATGGACCACAGGTGGTCACTGGGCTGAGTTCCCTCAAGCTCCTGCCATTTGATGATTTCCAGAGCTAACCTGCTGTAACAGTCCAGCTGAGGAGATGAACACTCGTGAGACCTGGTGGCAGCTTCTCCTTCTGTTTCTCTTGCAGCACAGCTGGAAATGGGCTAAATAGAATATTGTATTCTCTTCTACTTGGGCAAGTTGGATTCCACCTATCTTTCACTTTGGTCTTAGAGACTAAATTAAATTCTGAAGTTTCCAACAGAAAAGCTTCTTTGGGTTGTATATTCCAACAGGAATCACATTCCATTAGGATGGAATAAAGTAGCTAGGGGAAAATAGGCTTGTTGGGTTCCTCTGCAGTCCTGGAGACATGATGGACAACATTAGTTCTCACAAAAGTTCTGGGCCTTGTCATACCCAGTGTGAGATGTTTGGCTGGGCTGTGTGAGTGCTTGGTCACCTCTTCCTCAGTGGGATATTTGCCTTGGCAGCAGCAATAGCTTCAGTGTGTTTTCATGAAACCACCCTGTGGCTTTAGTGTGATCCACCACAACCCCCTTATGCAATACTGTTGGCTTCAGCACAGCTCAGCAGAAAAGAAGAGATGAAAAAAGACAGAAGGAAACTGCAGTTCTCACCCCAGCAGCAAACCTGTACTGCAGCCCCAGTGCCAAAGTGGTCACCTAGAGCTGCTCCTAGTCCTGTGAACTTGGTCTCCTCTTCCTGGGTCTTTGGACATACAGGTCTTCTAACAGCAGGAAACACCATGGATGTCAGGGCTTGCTCCAAAATGTATGAACAGTTTTGTTATTAGTGTTTTTAAGTTATGTACACAGTATTTTTGTAAGTCTCTTGCAGTGTGGATGGGTAGATACATCCACATAATCTGTGTGTATATATATGTTAGATCCTATGAAAACAGCAAAAGGACAGAGGACCTGAGTGAAGAGTAAGTGCCTCACCATCACTGTTGCTGTTGCTCATTCCTAATTTACCAAGAAAAGAAGGAAAAAAGAAACTGCCAAATCCAAACTTATGCTGCTTAAAACTGGGCTCTAACAAGTGAGGATGGCAGTGAGACTCCTTCCCTCTTCTCCCTGCATGAGTGCAGCTGTCCCGCCCTGCTCTTTGTGGGAGTGCAGCTTTGGGTGATACAAAGCAGAGAGCTCCCTGACATGTGGAATGCTGGAAGGAACAGCGTTGCTTAGATTCAGGGTGGGGGAGAAGTGTTGCAGTTTACAAATGCATAGTCCAAGCTCTTGGTTGTCTGCTGACCAATTTCAGTGCTACTCTGATGGACCAGACTTCTGAGGATAATTATTCTGGGAGCAGGGAAGAACTAGTAATCCATAAAATCAGATTTGAAGCATTGTGAGACTGGTTGTAAGGTCCTTTTGAAACAGGCACAGGTAGAGAGTCCTTTCCTGTAAAATGTGAGAGTCACTGGTGACTCCCAAAGACTTTGAGTTGTCTTGAAAGGACCTGTAGCATGACAGGAATGTGTGTAAGCCGGCTGACTGACAAATTTGGTGGTGAGTAACTTGATTAAAATTTAAAGTGGTAGGAAATTCTTCTGTCAGTTGTAGGTGCAAGCTGTTCCTTGTTCCTGGCCCTTGTAAAGACCCACTTTAGACTGATTTCTCTTGAGTAGTTTCTTTTCCCCAGCTGAAGATTGTGGAGAAACTGCGAAGTTGTACAGACAGTAGGTGTGTGCCCCTCTAGAGTATTCACTGAAATTGGAGATTTACCAAGGTCGTTGAGCTCTAAAGGGACAAGTTCTGCCCCTGAATAACTGAAGTAATAGTCCAAACCTCTTCAAAATGACTTAATTTTTTACCAGAGACTCAGAGGTGTTGATTATTCCTCCTTCCCTCCAAACACTCTCAAAAAACACTCTGAGTAATCATTCAGCCAGACCTGGTCACACCCTCAGTTTCTTGGCAGCTTCTGGTGTGTTTTTTTCCTGATAACGCTCAAGCCATGTCTTTTTAGCCTGATGTGCATTAAAGCAGTGCCAGCTATGCAAGCATGTGTTTGAGTTACACAGCTGTGCTTCTGACAGAGTTGATTTAATTCTGAATTAAAGGATCAGCCCTTTCAATAGCAGAGTAAATGACCAGTTCTGATGATAAAGTTTGTCTGCAAAAAATGGCTCTGTCACATCATGTGAAAGTAATGATTGTGTCTTTCTGTAGCTGTCCTTGCAGGCAAAGAAACAGCAGAGCACCACAAAACCCCATCCAGCCACTTTTATTACTTAGTTTATTCTTAAGAAGTTGGATTCTCAGTAACAGATAATAACACACAACCTTCCAGTCCTCTGCCTGCCCTTTTTGGGGTGTGCAAGTGGGAGAGAAAACTTAAAATAACAAACAAAAAACAAAACACAAAAAGAAAACAAAACAAATTTATGTGGCTGGCACCACTCCAGCTGTTTTAAGTGCTTGGATAGATGAGAAATGGTGCTGGGAAAGGGAAAACTGGGAGCACTGGCAGTGAAACTGCCCATATGGAAACATGATCCTGACCCACAGTGGTGTGTTTGCCTAACATGTAAGGTTTATATTAAGGGGTGGGGAGGACTGCAAAGTGGGAAAAGGGAAACGGGAAGGCTTTTATAAATGCAGCTAGATATTGTGTGGGGCCTGGCTGTTTGTGTAATGTTTACTGAGTATCCAGAGTGACTTCGGCGCTGGCTGGTGCGGGTGGGTGTCTTGCTGGGCCTGTGGAGTTTTGTTTCTAAGCTTATCAACATACCTCTTCTACAAATAAAACTTAGGGCAGGTGGTGGAAATGCCAGCTTAAGCGACAGGTCAGCGGTCTGTTGTGTCCTTGGGCAACTCTGATCTTGTGTTAAGACTACTAGAAATGCTTTCTTAGTATTAACACCCTGTTCTAGCAGTCTGATGTAGCAGCTGTTTTAGACACAGGGAGCCCCTCTCAGGAGCCTGACTGATTTTTCTGCTCCTGTGAACTTTATTCCTGCAGTATTTTGCTTCGTGCTTCACCACCGTGTCCTGTATTAGGGTGAGTGGTGTGATGAGCATGTTTTTGGCAAACAGTTCTGGCTGCATAGGTTGGTGGACTTAGTACTTCGACATTAGGTATGTGCCCTGCAAGGCCACAAAGCATTGAGTTTGTACTTCAAGATCAATTGGCATTTGTTGGCCTCATGACGTAGAAGTGTATTTTTAAAACAATTACATCTGTTGGGGTCTTTTAAGCACAGGGGCAGAACTGAGTGAAAACAGGCAGTGGGAGACTTCAAGAGAAAAACAGTGTATTTATATGAGGGAACAATGTATGATAAATTGTTTATTTTCAGAAAAGGGAATTAAAAAAGGAACTAGTTGTTGACAGTTTTTGTAATGTGGCATGAAGGTGTGGTATATGATGTTGGTGTTTATCACTTAATGTACCAGGCAACATGCCAGCATCTGGGGATGGCAATTCCAAACCTGGATAAAGAAAATTCAACCATTCTGATAAAAGACAAAGCACAGCAAACATATCCTTCTTTTAAACTCTTTGACCAGCTCTTTGGGCAGTGATAGGAATGAAATGGTTTGGATTGCTGGGGGATGTCCTGGTAAACACCAGGGCTCAGGGTAGTAGCTGAGGTGAACTTCTCTCTGAGGTGAAGTTACACGAGGTCAGCTCTGAGGCTGCTGATCTGATTCTCTGTTTTGTTTGTTTTTTTTTCCTTTCAGATGGAAAGAATGCGAGTGGATCCAAACAGCGTTATAATCGTAAAAGAGAAACTTCATATTCAAAAAATGAGAACTTTTCCAGTCAGTCCCGTCGCTCCAATTCACAGAAAAGCAAAGCTTTTAACAAGATGCCCCCTCAAAGGGGAGGCAGCGGCGGAAATGGCAAACCTTTTAGCTCTTCTAATGGTGGGAGACGAGATGAGGTGAGAATTGTAATGCCGTGTCTCCAGGGCCTTCTTTCTTGGGATGACAGGATGGCTGCTCTGACCTGCCTGGATAGGTCTGCTGTGTTCAGCTCCTGGGCTGGGAAGGGAAAGAGTTATAAGAGGTGCTAAGTAACATCCTTGAGATGCCAGAGGGAGTGTGAGCTGAGCAACTTGGCAACAACAGAAGAGGAGTGCTCTCTGCTCTGAGAGACCCAACTGCTCCTCATCAGACTTGTGCTCCAGACCCTTCTTTCCCAGCTCTGTTCCCTTCTCTGGACCTGCTGCAGCACCTCAGTGTCCTTATTGTCATGAAGGACCCAAAACTGACCCCAGGACTCGAGGTGCAGCCTCACCAGTGCCCAGTACAGGGGAACAATCCCTTCTCTGGTCCTGCTGGCCACACTATTTCTGATACAGGCCAGGATGCCCTTGGCCTACTTGGCCAGCTGGACACACTCTGGCTCGAGTTCAGCTGCTTTTGACCAGCACCCCCAGGTCCTTTCCTGACAGGCAGCTTTCCAAGCCTGGAGCATTCCATGGGGCTGTTGTGGCCCAAGTGCAGGACCCATCACTTGGCCTCGTTGAACCTCATACCAGTGACCTCAGCCCGTTGATCCAGCCTGTCCAGATCCCTCTGCAGAGCCTTCCTGTCCTCCAGCACATCAACCCCCACCCAAGTTGGTGTTGTCTGCAAACTCGATTAGGGGTACCCTCCATCCCTTTGGCCACATCATTGATAAAGACATTAAACAGGACTGGCCCCAGTGCTGAGCCCTGGGGAACACCACTGGTGACCACCCCAGCTGGATGTGACTCCGTTCCCCACCACTCTGGGCCCGGCCATCCCTGGGTTTTTTGCCCAGGAAACAGTGCACCTGTCTGAGCTGAGAGCAGCCAGTTTCCCCAGGAGAATGCTGTGGGAAACTGTGCCAAAGGCTGTGCTGAAGTCCAGGTAGAAAACTTCCACAGCTTTGCCCTTGACCATTAAGTGGGTCACCTTGTCGTAGGAGATCAGGTTAGTCAAGCAGGACCTGCCTTTCACAACCTGATCCCCTGGTTGCCCTGTACATTGTATGAGATGCACTCAAGATCATCTGCTCCGTAACCTTCCCAGGCACTGGGGTCACATTGATGGCCTGTAACTCCCTCCCTGGATCCTCCTTCTGGCCCAGCATCCCGTTTGGTGACTTGCAGTGAGCTGGGACTGCCCAGTTTGCCAGGAGTGCTGGTAAAGGATGGAAGGGGCTTGGTGAGCCCTCCCACCCAGCCCCATAGACCTGTGTGTGTGTCTGAGTGGCACAGCAGGTGACCATTTCTCCTTGGATCGTGGGTGCTTCATTCTGACCCCTGTCCATGTCTTCTAGCTCAGAGGGCTGGGTACCCTGCAGAACACCAATCTTGGTATTAAAGGCTGAGACAAAGAAGGCATTAATTACTTCAACCTTTTCCTCTGTCACTATGTTTCACCCTCCACCATTCAATAAGGGTTGAGAGTTCTCTTATCTCTCTTTTTGTAGCTAATGTATTTATAGAAACATTTTTTATTGTCTTTTACAGCAGTGGCCAGATTAATTTCTAAGGCCCTTCTGCTTTTCTCCCTGCATAACCTCATGACATCCTTGTAGTCCTTCTGAGCTGCCTGCCCCTTCTTCCAAAGATCATAAACTACTTTTTTTTCCTGTGCTCCAGCTAAAACTAGTCTTCTTCCCCACTGGCTCATTTTTTGGCTCATGGGGGCAGCCTGCTCCTCTGCCTTTAAGATTTCTTGAAGAATGTCCAACCTTCCTGGACTCCTTTGCCCTTCAGGACATTCTCCTAAGTGACTCTGTCACTCAGTCTCCTAAACAGGCTGAAGTTTGCCCTCTGAAAATTGATTTTGTCCAACCACTTCAGTGCACAAATTTACACGAGATGGGGGCATTGGGAAAGTAAATGTGTTGGCCTCGATGACATCAAGGTGGAGTAAAACCAGACTGAGGCTTTTATGTTGATGTGGATCTAAATAGTGTAGACTGTTTGTTGGGTTTAATTTAATTGATACTGTGATTTTTCAGTTTTGGTGGATGAGCAGCACTGCTTACCTAGACTGCTGACTCAAAACTCACCTGCTGCCTCTGTTGAATTCTCATTCTTTGCTTCATTATGTGAAAACTAACTGAAACAAGTACAACCTGTGCAAACAGGAATCAGACTTGTATTGCTGCCTGTCTAAAAGAATATTGTCTGGATTTGAACAACTTCCTTGTGTTACCTTGTCTGGGTTTTGCCAGCTTTCACTTACCCTCATGTGTTTGTTTTTACCCTCTCCTCCTTTTGCTCAGTGTGGGGTAAGACCACTGAGTTCTGACTTTCAGATTCTCCTGCACTTCTAACGCTGCCCTGCTCGATTTGCAGAGCTGGGATGGGAGAAGGTGAGTGAGGGAGTGCTGCATGTTCTGAGTGTAATCACTGATGGGGCCTGGGTATCCACCTGTACTGATGCTTTTGCAGTACATTCTAGCAGGTTCTAACAAATGCTGTTGTCTCTTAGGTAGCAGAGGCTCAACGGGCAGAGTTCAGCCCTGCCCAGTTCTCTGGTCCCAAGAAGATAAATCTGAACCACTTACTGAACTTCACTTTTGAACCCCGTGGCCAAGCAGGACATTTTGATGGGAACGGACATGGCAACTGGGGGAAAAGGAACAAGTGGGGACATAAACCGTTCAACAAGGAGCTTTTCCTACAGGCCAAGTGAGTGAGAGACCAACAGGGCTCTTACACTTCTGCAGAGACACTGAGCTGTGAGGGGTGAACAGCCAGGGAACTGTGTTTGGCCTTGACTACTTGTATTGTCTTTTCCAGGGTGAAATTACCTTGCCATAGTGTTTTTGTGTGGTAATGACTATATTTGAAAGGAATGTTGTTCTTACCTATTTACAAGGTATCCGATGGAGTGAGTCCTTTAGCTACAAACCAGTTAATTTACTCTGATTTTCTATCATCATATTGGAATATGACACTCCATTTTGGAATATCTCTGCAGGTCCCTTGTGGGAGACTGTGGGTTTTTTTTCCAAAAAATTAATATGTTGAGATGGAAGAGATAGCAGTTGCTGGATGAAAGCTAATTTGAATTTATGAGTTCCAGAGGCAATTACTTATATGAGTCTTAGTTCTTAAGCTGTTGATTATTTTGCAGGTATATATATACATAGTATAATCCAAATGATGATCAATATAGTAATCCAGCAGCAGAATTGCTTTTGACTGGAAATAATGGTTGCTTTCACTGGAATTTGAAGTGTGTTCAGGACTCCCCTCTCCGATAATGTTAAAGATAAAAAGTATTTTCAGCATTGGTGCTTCTGATTTTTCCCTGTTGTTTTGTGGCTTATTGTGGTGAAGTCTATTTGCAGGAACAGCGATAGTTGTAGTTTTTGTGACCATATTTTTTCCCCATGTGGATTCCTTGTTTTTTAATAGATCCCTTATGGAGCTGGCTGTTCCTTACATGTTTCTGGAAAACCACACTGCCTGGCTCATTCTGTAGTTAGTTTGTGCTGTTGTGTCTAACTGAAATTATACACATCTGTATTCTGGAAATCTGGTTGTGAACTGAACTCTTGATTTTTGTAGGTAGAAGTTACTAACTGCATCCAGCAGTTTTCTGCTGGACAAAGAAGCAGCTCAGAGAATCCTGTAAAATAGTTCTCAAAAAATTTTTAGAAACAACTGAGTGGATCATCTGTCTCTTTGCCTTTCCCCAGCTGCCAGTTTGTTGTCTCTGAAGAACAGGACTACACAGTCCACTTTGCTGATCCAGATACCTTGGTCAACTGGGACTTTGTGGAGCAAGTGGTCAGTTGTGATGGGCTAGATTTTTTTTTTCCTTCTTTTTCTTAAGAACCTCAACCTGTCTTTAACTGCCTCTTTCCCTCTGTGATGTTACATAAAACTCAGCTGTTTTTGAGTTGAGGCCTTTTCTGTCACTCCCACAATACTGGGAAAGATCTGTCATGGAATATATTATGAAATACTTTCATGACAGGAAAAGAGAAGTGCTAAAATCTATTAGGAAAATTAGCAGCTTCTTCTTGCTTTCGCAGATGGGAGCTCATCAAAAATAGTATCTGACATTCTGTAGACAGAGTCCTTGTGATCGAGATATTAACAGAAAACTTGGGCACGAGTCCATGGAAGAGGACTAGGGTGTAGAATTTTGAAGAATTATTCTGTGCATAGGTGGCCTATCTTGCCTAGCAACAAAATAGAAAATCTCTTCAGAATTGTGGTCAGAAGTTTGGGTTGCCTCAAGCAGAAACTTGTATCTGCCAAGACAGTCTGGTGCATGGTGTAGGTGGAGAAGAGGTGGGCTTACTGTTACCTGACACTACAAGAGAGCTGAAAAATCGAGGTGCTTGCTTGGCAGTTCTGTCTCTGCCACACAGAGATGCTAACAAAGTGTCTGACTAAACCCAGAATGTTCATGAAAGTGGGTAAGTTCAGTCTCGCAGCTGAACGGGGCTGCACAAATCTGCTTGTGTAAGTGAGGCCGCAGAGCTCGTTTGCCGTCTCCTCACTGTCTGAATTCGGATGATGAAGATGCTGCTAACTCTTAGAGATGGTGAATACCTCAGGGGAAGCATGAAAAGAGTCACTTTTTAATGTCATTAGAGTAGAGATACCAGATGGGTGGCTTTGAAGGTTATTCCGTGTGCAGTCTGAAGGCGTTAATTCACAGGGTACTAATTCCTTGGTAAATAAGCAGAGCCTAAAGACCTGTAAGGTAATATGTTAGAGTAGATCTTACAGGTGGCTTATTCTGTATCCCAGGAACTGATTTCTGAATCTAAAATGTGTGCTGTTCTTCTCACGTGCCATTGCAGCGAATCTGTAGCCATGAAGTGCCCTCTTGCCCAATATGTTTGTACCCACCAACCGCAGCCAAGATCACCCGCTGTGGGCACATCTTCTGCTGGGCATGTATCCTTCACTATCTCTCCTTGAGCGAAAAGACCTGGAGTAAGTGTCCTATTTGTTATGGCTCTGTTCACAAGAAGGATCTCAAGAGGTGAGACGATATTTATGAAATTATGTGTCTCTCTGAAGTGTTATTTTTACACCGCTAACTCCTCCGTACGTTGCAGTGTTGTTGCTATGGAGACACGCCAGTATGCCATCGGTGATACCATTACGATGCAACTTATGAGAAGGGAGAAGGGTGTTCTCATAGCACTGCCCAAGTCCCAGTGGATGAATGTGGTGCAGCCTGTTTACATCAGAGGTGAGTGTGTCTGAGGACTGGTGGTTGGAATCCTGCTCCCAGCTGTGACCAGGATTTGTGTAGACACAATTTACCCTGGCAATGTCATGCTGTCATCCTAAAATAAACCTAAAATAAAAAGATTACAAAACATGGGGTTTATCAGCTGGAAAGGTTGATGACCACATATTAACAATAAGCTTTCTATTCACACTTAAGTTTTTTGTAAGGCTGTAACTTGTGCTGTTTCCCTTCAAGTGACTGCACTGCAGACTCCTGCCTTCTCAGTCATTGCTGTTGGTTTGGTGTGTGTTTTGTATCCTACAGTCATCGGTGTGACTCTTGCTGCTTTTATTGGCACTTCAGTGTCCTTAACTTTTTTCCCCCTGGCTCCTCATTATACAGCTTAGCAAAAATAACTGTCTCTGTGTCTAAACTATTTTAAGGCTGTAATCTTCAACAAGGTTTTCATCATCTTCACTTATCAACTGAAGTCAGTGAATGATATGGTGAAATAATCAAAATTATTGCAAACCTATTCCAAACATCTGTTGCCTGACATCTTCAGTTTTCTCCAGTCAAGAATGTGACTAACTCATCATCATCTTATCTGTTAGTGTCACAAAAATTTGGTGTCTAAAGAAATAATTTTACCGAACATGGCTGCTTTGTGGGCTGTCTTGGCTCACTTCGTTTTGCAGTCACATTTAGGAAAGGCTGCATGCATTTAAACTCTCTGGAAAAAGTCAAGTCTCCTAAAGTGTGATGGGTATCCAGCATGCAGGCTGTGGGCTTACATGTTTCTCAGTATTTGAAAGTAAAGGTCTTTAAATCCTTTCATAAAAAAAACCAAAGAACAAATACAGGATTTAAGATCATTTTAAAGCCAGAAAAACTTGATGTTCTGTAGACAAGGTTGGACCCTTTGGGAGCAGTGAATATAGGGACTGTATTAATATGTGATGCTGTGGTTGCTGTAAACTCTGTAGTTAGTGCTTCTGTAACAAGGATGACTACCTTTTGCTGAACTTGCAGTTCTTTACCTTACTGTCTGTGCTGTGCTTCTTGTGAAAACCTCATCATAATGCTTTGTATGGATTTTTAATACATATGGGCTTATGAATTAGCTTGAACCAAACCAGGGGTCGCCCTGAAAAGATTTCCAATTGCAGTATTTTTGAGCATATAGAGAAGAGGAAGAAGCTCTAAGACTGCACTGTTTGAGGAAGTTTTGACCCCTCAAAGGCGATGCTTCCATCACATAGAATTTTTTTTTTTTTTCATTTTTTTTTCATTTTTTTTGACATACCGCAGCTGAGTGGCAGATAAACTGCTGTGTGAGGGAGATGTGTTTAGCACAGCAGGGATGTGGCACCAGCCTGTGATGGAATGGTAATATGTGGACTGAGTATTGTCTTCCCTGGGGGGATTAATTCTCAAAACCGAGTAGTGACGCAACTTCAGAAGAAGCAGCAGCCCAAATTGGTGCCTCTGCATGCAGACACTAACGACTGGTGCTCCTTCTGTTCAGATGACCAGCACAGCCAGTATTCAAAGCTGCTTCTGGCATCCAGGGAGCAGGTCTTGCAGCTGGTGATTCTGGAGGAGAAAGCGGCATTACTGAAACAGTATGAGGAAGAAAAGCACACCCCAGAAGCTTGCTTTATTGAGGCAGCTATCCAGGAGCTGAAGGTAACAACCTCTCTGGAGGCTTTTAATAACTTTAGGAGCGTGCTGAGTGCTGAGCAGCCATGCTCTGCTGCACAGATGGTAGTGTTCTATTGGGCAGACATGGGCAAACCTGTACTGTACTCCTTTTCTAAGCCTTTAGGTGTCCTGCATGGGTGTTCTTTCCAGTAGCAAGAAGGAGAGGACCTCTCTTTGAGTTACTCTTTATCACAGATGAATTTCTGTGAAAATCTGTGAAATCTTGAAGTATAGGACAAGGCTAAAAATAACTGGTGGAGGTGGTTTTTTGGCTTAAATGGCAAATTGAAACTTGTTCCCTTTGGATGACCTGCAGGAGCGAGAGACAGCATTGTCTGCTGACCAGGATAAAAACAATGGCATTGCTGGAATCAGTGCAGCTGTGGAAGAATTGGTCCTAGAAAGCTCCAAGGCTGTGGAGCCTGCAGTTACCCAAGAGAAGAAGGTGGGTGACAACTCTGCTCTGGCAGATCCTGTTAATATTTAATTCTACCACTTCACACCGCAGTGTACAGTGAACTCGTGCCAAAGATTTTTGCAGAGATGATAATCTTTGGAGGAGGTGGCGTGGTACTAACTGTATCCTCTCTGCTCTGGTAGTGTGGTGTGGAATATCTCTCTGCATTTGATGAGGAGCTTGTGGAGCCTTGCTCTGACCTGGCAAGTTCCTTTCCGCCTCCTGTGGAAGTAGAAGAGGCAGTGCTGGATGAAGAGGAAGTACCCGAGGTGGACACTGCAGGGGAACCCGATACGAACACTACAGAAGAACCAAATCCAGCTGAAACAAGCTACCAAGACTCTAAAGATACAGTTAGCTCTGGACATCTTGGCAACTCTCCTTTTTACTATTTCTATCAAGGTCAGTGCAATGAAATCCTGGAATCGTGGGGGCGGAGATGCCTCCTTTGGGATCCTTCTTGAGGGAGTATGTTTGTCCCTTCATTAGATGCAGCTAACCCCTGTGAAATAAAAGTCCCACAGAAACTCAGAAAGGAGCTTTGATTGTATTACTGGAGGGTACACTGAGGTGGGGAGAAGGGAACTGGAAATGAACAGGCAGAGAAGGAGTGATGATGTCTTACCTTGCAGCGGAGGACGGACAGTGCATGTACCTTCACCCCGTGAACGTTCGGTGCCTGGTCCGTGAGTACGGCAGCCTGGAGAAGAGCCCCGAGAAGATAACTGCAGCTGTAGTGGAGATAACTGGCTACTCAATGACAGAGGTAGTTACTCTATCTTCTTCTTAATTAGGGGCCCATGTTTTAGCAGATGTAGCTGACAGGAGACTTGTTGCTCTTCAGTATAATAAAACTATAATGGGTTGGGATGCTAATCTGTGAAGGGCATCTGTGGAAGGTGCAGTGCTTTCTGTTGTTTTTTGATAAGTAGGCTGCAGTCTTGCTTTTTTTTTTTTCCTAGAAGGTAGCAAGTTCTAGGAGTAAGGGGATTGCAAGCTTAAGATTGGTTTGTTGTTAAAGCTGTTTTAAAACAAGCAAATTTTTTTCTCATATGAGACAGTAGCTTGAACTAGACAGATGATCATCTTTCTCAGCTTGAAGTGTCTGCCTCAGTCTTAAGGAGTTGTTTCTGAGCAGTGGGATGTTATGAAAATAAAGAGGATGGAAAGAAGCTTCAGTATTTTAGACAGAGGGAGTGAAAGGGCTTAAGGCACTGAAGTTCTGGAAAAGGGGATGGGTCTTGAATTCATTTACCTCAAATAAAGACAACTGTAAGAACTGACACGTGCAGTAACAACTATACATAGTTTTTAATTCATCTTTTAAGAAATTATACATTCAGGTAAAAATGGGTGCAGAGGTAGTAGGGAATTGTCTTCAAGTTTTTCAGCTATGCAAGGAAAAATAGAAAACTACTTGATTCAACCTGGCAAAATGGTGGTCACTGGTCCAAGTAATTTAAGTATAAAAGGCAAATTTGGTCCAGCATAAAAATAATTGCACTGTAAGACTGGTATTACAGAATTTTATTCCAGTGATTTGAGTGAGAAGGGAGGAATAACAAGAAAATCGGTAAGAGAGCTGGAGTAGCTGCATCCAAATCTCATTATGGTGTAGTTGGTGGAGGTCTTGGAACATTTGGTTCTGACCCAGGGCATTCTTCACGTGTTTGTAGTTTACAAACTAATTGTTGTGTCACTGCTGCTGGTTTTTTCCATTTGATTTGATGGATGGTGTGCATTCCATCTCCATGAGCTGTGGCAGCCTCTGGGCCTTGCTGTGATCATGTATTGCTCTCTTTTTACCAGGATATAAGACAACGTCATCGCTACCTCTGTCACTTGCCCCTCACCTGTGAGTTCAGCATTTGTGAACTGGCTCTGAAGCCACCTGTCATCTCTAAGGAGACTTTAGAGTTGTTTTCAGGTTGGTACTGCTTTTCTAGTAGGCTCTGCCATGTATCCATGAGGGTGAAGGGGAAGTCGTTCTTATCCCTTAATGACAGAAAAAAGAACATACATAGCAGCTTTACTCCTCTAGCACCAACTATCTGATGACTGCCAGACAGACCAACCCCAATTCACTGTTTTATAGACAACAATTATAAAAAGAATAAAAAAGTTCCTGACTGCTTGGAAGAGCATATGTTGTTTGTAAGAGTATTTTGTTACTAATGTGTTATGACTGAATACGTTGTTGTCAGAGCTGGAGAAAACACTGCCAGAGTATTGGTGGGGGGTTTTTGATACCCAGTGTCGTGCATTGCTCCTAGATGACCTCGAAAAGAGGAAGCGCCTGCGGCAGAAGAAAGCTCGCGACGAGCGACGGCGCGAACGCAGAATTGAGATAGAAGAGAACAAGAAACAGGGCAAATGTAAGTCGTGATTGCTCATAACTGGTGGGTTTCCAGTCATATTTAGTTGCTGAGCTGATTTCTTGAGTGGTAAGGATGAACTCTGAGGCCTTTAGTCTGTAGTGTGTACTTAGAGCAAGATTACGAAGTGTTAAAAACAATATCAGTATAATGAAAAATATAAACTGTTTTAGTCGGGATGTTAAGTGGTGTTATGCAATGGCTGCATACTTACACATTTTGGGAGAGACAGAGGGCATTTGAGGGCACAGCTCTGTCTCCAGGGTGTAGAAATCTCTCAGGATTCTTAGTTTCTGTTTTTATAGTAATCACGATGTAGAGTAAAAAGTGAAGAAGGGAAAAAAGGCCTCGGAACTGCTTCCATCCAGCAGCAGGGCTTGTACTGGTCTCTGAAATAGAGGGTGGAAAGAAAATTGAGTTGGCACCTCCTAGACTCCTGAAACAACTTGCATATTGACAGTCCTCCCCCACATTGTGTAGTGCTTTAATTTAAAACCTCTTTCTAGATCCAGAGGTCCATATTGCTTTAGAGAATCTGCAGCAGTTTCCTGCTTTTACTTCTTGCCCCGGAGAAACTACCAGCATTGATCATCAGAGCTTCTGTCAGTCTCCTCTTGGCAGAAGCCCTGTGTTTCAGACAGGTGAGCATCTGGAAAAACACACCACACCTAGCTCTTGATTATTCTTTTGGGATCTATTGCTCAGGTCTTCAAGCTGAACTTTCTCAGCACTGTTCAAAGGCGGCTTCTTTTCAGAGAAGTCGTGGTTGTTCAAGGCCAGGTTGGATGGGGCTCTGAGCAACCTGGTCTGGTGAAAGGTGTCTCTGCCCATGGCAGGGGGATTAGAAGGAGATGATCTTCAAGTCCCTTCCCACCCAAACCATTCTGTGATTGTTTCCTGTGTTGCCTATGAGATCATCCACTAAAGGCTGACATGGCTAAGAAACATCCCGGTCCTTTGTCTGCTTTTCACTGCCTCTACCTCAGTGACTCAGAGATCTGCACTGTAGTTACCCCATCTTTTAAATCTCTGCTGAGGAAAATGAAAGGAAAAAAATGCCCCCCAAAGGGAAGAAAAGTGTGTATTCCAGGAAAACACTACTGGCATTTTTTCTTTCTATCCTCTCCATCTTCCCCACCACGTTATACTAAAATAAAATGTAGCTGATGAGCACTAAGTTAGGTTGTTGTCCAGTGATGCTTTACCACCTATTTTATCTTGCAGTTCATAAAAAGTGTTAAATAGAAACTAATATTGTTTTTCCCAAAACAAAAACCCAACCCCCCCCCAAAACCAAAACAGCCCCCCCCCACAACGCCCAAAAACAAGCAAACAAAACCCAAACAAACCAACCAACCGACCCCCCAAAACCATCTACAACCCAATTTAAACTTCCCTTACATAAAAAGATTGGGGAAATTCGAGAGGTCCTTCTGTGTGACTGATGGATGGAACCAATGAGATAAAAATGGTTAATTACATAAGATAAAACTTTATTTCTGTCTCATCCGATAAGCAGCATAATGAGTGTATTTGCCAAGTGCAGCTGGTTTTAATTAATTCTCTGCTTCTCTCTCTGCAGAGTCTATTCCAGCTCCATTGTCACCTGCTGCCAGCCAGGTCAGCCCCTTGCTCTGTGGGAGTTTGGAAGAAGAGTCTCCCTTCCCTTCCTTTGCCCAGGTAAGCTGTGTAGCAGAGTAAATCTTGTCTTACCCATGTCTTAGTTGGGGATTAATCTGATAATACAATTGCTTCCCACAGGAAAACAATGTAAGATAAATCTTAGGGAGACATCATAGGGTTTGAGTGCTTGAAGGGGTTCCTAAATTTTTTTGCCACTTAGGGGATATGCAGGTTGGTTCTAGTACATGGACTTTAATCATATCTTACAATTTTTTTGATAGATGTTGAGAGTTGGAAAGGCAAAACCAGAAACATGGCCTAAACCTGCTCCAAAGACAAGAGGTAAGAGAAAATTTGGTGTTGGTACTTCAGGTTTTCTACCATGCATCTAAATCCAAGAAATCTTGAAGCCTCACAAGAAACATCTGGAGCGTGGAGGGGTATTTGCATGGGGAAGTTTAATGCAGCCTTTGCCTCTCTTTCCCTCTTTCAGATGAGAACACTCTGGCACTCCCTGTGCCTGTGGATAGTGATGGAGAAAGTGACAGCTCTGACCGCATCCCTGTGCCCAGCTTCCAGAATTCCTTCAGCCAAGCTATCGAGGCAGCCCTCCTGAAACTGGACAAACCGTCCACGGCCGATCATCTGTCAGGTAAAAGGCAGGGGGAAAGGCAGGAAAGATTCCTCAAGTGAAAAAAATGGATTATACCCCCTTCTTCCTCTGGGAGAAGTGAGAGCAGCAATTTTGGGGACCAGAAATTGGCCAGAGAACAGTTCTGAAAATTGTCAGGTTGTGGTTTCTGAACAGCTTGAGCAGGGCTTCTGTCAGCTTAAAGCAGCCTCATAGTGGGAGCTGAGATCTCCAACTAGCAAAGAATCCTGTTAGGACAGAGATGGCTTTTGACAATCGTGTTTGCCATGTCTCTACTGGAACTTAAATTCAGGTTCTGCATTTTTGAACTAAAAATACCTGAGCTGCTGAACTACTGCTCAAGTTTGACCAAAATGCTGAGGTAACTGCTGGCTGAAATTCCAAGTTAGGGAGTGTGAAACAAATTGAGATGAACTTAAACCTCCAGCAAATTGAGGTGGACTTAAACCAGCCTGATGCTGGCTGATAAAACTCATTTATAATGCTCAGTTCTGATGTTTAGCTTTGGTTCCTGTTTGGAAACTGCACTGGAGGATGGAGAGAGTTGGATGGGAGGGCCTGGGAGTTTCAGTGGAGTATCAGCTCCAGTTGTGTTTTTTGGACATGGATGGAAGTGATATTTATCAGACAGACAGATTGCTGCAATCATGCAGTCCTGGGATCTGCTGTTGCAACAGCAACTTTGCAATCAGTTATGCTTGTTTTAAGTGTGTTTTAGATGTGATGGGAGTCTCCCTTAGTTTGTCTGCAGTAATTTTTTTTTTTAATTAAACTACCTGGTGCTCAGTTAGTTGATAGGAAGTGTTGTGGGCCTGTAGAAGCCATTTAGGCTGGGGGAGACCATTTGTGTGACGTTCCTGTTCCATGAGAAGAATGACAGTTTCATTTTAATTCTTCACAGAGGAAAAGGGAGGCAAGAAAAGAAAGAAACAGAAGCAGAAGCTGTTGTTCAGCACCTCTGTTGTTCACACAAAGTGATTCTGCTATTCAAGAGAAGTTTCCTCTCCTGGTTTTCTTTTAATTTTGCTTTGTTTTGCTGCTATAGTTTTAAGTATTTAAATTTGAACAGCCTAAACTTGTGTTTCCAGAGCTTCTAGGGGCTTCAGAAGGAAACCATGACAATATGTGTTGAAGTAACATGTTTTGATTCCAACTGCTTATGAATTTATACTGAAACAGAGTTTTGAAAGTAACAACCAAGAGACAAATCCACCAAGGCTTCTAATTGCCGAGTCAGTTCTTTGGCCTGGTAAGCAGTATGAAAGTCTTTACAGCTATGTAGCACTGCCAAAGTACTGCAATATTACCCAAGAGAAAAGGCAGAGAGCCTTTATTTCCCTATAGTTAATTATTCATGGACAGAAGTCCGTCTGACTGACAGTGGTGCTGTTTCAGTAAAGCTGTCAAACTGCTCTCTTGAGAAACTGGTTTTGGCTGCACTGGAAACAGGCAAAAGAGCTTACTGGCTTTAGAGTGTTAGCTGCTATATCTGTTCTTTTTCTAAAGAGCAAGAATTCCTCCTGTTCTCCTGGCTTGGAAAGATTTAAAGCTGAGGTGAGTGAGTGTAAAGCAGAACTTGGCTACTTGGTTTTGAAGTGATTCAGTGAATTTGTGTATTTCAAAATGGCACTAGTGGTAGGAGGAACCTCCTAGCTTCTCTCAGTTGTTCAGCTCTGTTTTAATGTGGGTGAGTGAGGCTGCTAAATTTTTTTTTTCTTTAATTTTTGGTTTTTTGGCAACCCTGAGCTACACATTCTTTGTAACCTGATCGTATAGAACAAACGCTCCCCCCTAGGACTTTTGGTAACCACCTGAACGATGGTTTGACACTGGCTGCTCTTGAGCTGGAAGAACAACTGATAGCTGAAGTCTGTAGATAACTTTTTATACCCCAGAAATGAAGTGGGGTATAAGTTCTCTTGTACTGGGATAAGGGCCTGTATCTGCTTGGTTCTGGGATGTAAATTGATGTGTGCTACAAACATGCCTCTTCTGGACCCCTCCCCGCTCTTTCTTTGGGTGGTCACATTCTGCACTGCTTGTGGTTTGATTTGAGCTAATGAGTTAAGTGGTGTGGATTTTGTTGAATAAAATGAACTCTAGGTGTAATGTACCAGTCAAGGCCAGCAGTTGCAATAAATCATATGCACACACACTTCAGAGTACTAAACCCTTCCTCCTCAGCTGCACCTGACCTGTCAGACCAGCGTGGAGCCCTGGAAAAAGTAGTTCAGAGATTCAAATTTTACCTTCCTGCTACCAGAATTAATTCCAGAGAGCTGGTACAAAGTACCACTGAAGTTACAGTGGGAGCCTGAGCGTCTCCTCTTGTCTTTGGCCCCACTTGCACCAGTGGTCTGCCTGCACTTGCACAGGCTTCAGTGTGCTCTTTTCCTCACACCGTGATGGATCTGAGCAGGGAAGCGTGTCTGAGGCTCCTGGAGTCAGGTATTCCGACACCACTGGCAGTCATTGGTTGTGTCCCTGTTGAAAAAGCTGATGTCAATATGTGGATGCTCGATTCCAAAGCAACAGGCTCCACACTACACCAGTGCTTCCTCGAGGCACATGTGCCTCACGGGGAGCGGGTGCCAAACCTCAAGTGGCTGTAAACCAGAAAGAACGGGAGAGAGGGGAGGTAAAGAATACTTCAGCTGCTGCAGGAGGATAGAGAGAACACCTGCCAAACATTCTTTGAAAGTAGCTTAACTTCACGCTTGGTCACAACTAACCACACTTGATGGAAAGACAGTACAGCTTGTCAGGGATTGCAGAGAAACTAAGACAAGATGCCTGGAAGTGGTAACACATCTTGCTGTCAGTGCTTTAAATGCATATTGGAAAACAATTGGTGAAGGCAGAGAAAGCAACTAAGCGATTCAAATATGCAGTTAACTGTGTTCACAGTGTGTCATTTTGAGCCATGGAACAGGAGTAACTTAGTGTCTAACCAGTATCTGTTGTGTTCTATTATCTCTGCACATTTATAGTCAACTTTTCTTTGCATTGGGAAGAGAGACAGAATAGCTGGAGCTGGTGTGACTCACCTCCACATGTCACAGGCACTAGGACAAGGGAAGTGATGTGGGGAAGGCAGGCTGTGCCTTCTGCAGGGGCAGTCTCCACAGGGACAGCGTCTTCAATTGTATCTTGTTTTCCTATGGATTCGAGATAATACCAGCAACGCTACTTTCCTGTAACTGATTGGTGTAAACTTAATAAATATCTAAGCAGTACTTGTACCTATGAGTTTTATAAGGGGGGGGATGGAGTGGAGCCTTACGGCTCTGCCTTGCATTCCCTGTACTCTCTGCTCCTGTATATACAACTGGTGCTTTGCTGACTCAAAAAAATGGATATCCTGTGGCTAACAGCACACTGAAAGATAAGGTAAAACCCAGTAAGAGGTTAGTGCTTTTTTACTGAAGGAGAATAACTACATTCCTTGTCTGTGCCAACTGCCTAAAGCTCACTTCTACCTCAGCATGATGACCGTGTTGAGCTGCTACACTCCTCAGGAGCCCTGCTGGTCTGGACTCCAGGAGTGAAACAGGCAAGTAACCTACATAGGGGAAACCACATTTCATTTTTTAAAAATTTATTTAAGAACACTTGGAATGGGGAATGAAGTACAAATATGAACAGGTGCTCTTCTTGTGCCCTGCTTTGCTTAACACTGAAGGTAACTGGTCACATCTTGATTACATGAGTTCAGGATGGAGGTGAACAGGAGCAAGTGACGTTCACTCTGTCTCTGTGTCTGTGCCATCATCATCCTCTTCATCTCCACTCTGAGACTGCTCTTCTGTAAGGGAACAGCTCAACAAGGACTTCTGTATACACTGTCTTTCCTCTGCAATAAAGGGAGCAACAGAGGGTCATTACTTGGTCTCTTCACATACACTGGAATATCCTCTACTTCTAAAGAAAGAAACATTTCTCAGGCCAAGAATTCAGAAGTAGCCCAGCATATCCCTACAAACTCCCCAGGAGACGAGGCTGTGTTTCAGTAAAGTGGCTGGAGGAACCCACCTTCATTTGTACAGTTTTGCAACAGCATCAGCAGCTGTCTTCTGTTATACTGAATCAGAAATTTCTGACATGTTCTTATGGTACCTGTAGAAGTCACAAGAAAAGCATGTAACAATCTGCACAACCAAGTGTTTCAGAGCTGCGGGTGTATTTTCCAAAGAGCATTGTATCAAATGGCCCAGGAAACAATTCTGTTACTGCAAATGCTGAGGAGGGGCTGTAGACTTCGTTTCTGCACTGCTAAGTTTAAGTGGTGCAGTAATAATTTCTAACGTGCAGTGCCTGTTAGTTCCCCAAGGGATTTAATTTCCAGGATATAGAAGATACTATACTTTGAAAATATATTTTAAAAGAAAACAATGTCATCTTGTATTTGCTGGTTTTGTGATAAATGTAACGAAGATTCAAGCAAAATTAACGAGGGTTTCAACAAAGACCGGCTGGTGCCTGTTTCTTATTTAGATCTGCTGGCAGCCGTGGTGTGACACCCGAGGTGTGTGACACTCGCAGCTGCACGAGGGGGTCCTGGCAGGTACAGCTGATCTCCCCCCAAGCCCCACGGCCTGTCCCCCAGCAGCGGGGCTGCTCCTGACCTCCGACGTGCAGGGTGTTGAGGGCGCAGGGGTAGCGCTGGGCGCGGCTCTCCAGGTACCGCACGAAGGGCAGCGCCGAGCACAGCAGCCGGTACGAGTCCTTGCGGCAGCGCAGCAGCACCGTCCCGGTGTAGGCGTTCAGGTACTTCACTGCGGGGACACACACGCGCCGGTGAGCGCGAGGAGCCCCGCACCCCCGCGGGCCGCGCGTCCCGCCCGCACCTGTGAAGGAGATGGAGCAGCAGGCCAGGCCGTAGTCGCCGTGCACCCGCCCGATGGCGTCCCTGACGGCGAGGCCCACGGCGCGGTCCTCGATGCACTGGCGGCAGCGCGGGTCGTCCGAGAGCACCTCGCACAGCACGTACCTGCGGGCAGCGCGGGGCGAGCGGCGCGGGGCGAGCGGCGCGGGGCTGCCCCGCACCCGGCCCGGTACCGCCCGCCTCACCTGTTCTTGAACCGAACCATGGCGGCGGCGGCGCGCGGCCCGCGGCCCGGACGGACGGCCCGCCCGGCCAATGGGCGGGGCGGCTCTGTCCGCGATAGCCAATCACCGCCGGGGGGCGGGACCAAGAGAAGGGCGTCCCCGGCCACGGTCCTGCCTCCCTCCACCGGCCGCGCGTGCGCAGTGCTGCCACGAGCCGGCGGCCGGTCACGGAACCGCGGAATCGATTAAATTGGAAAAGACCTCTGAGATCATCGGGTCCAACCTGTGACCCAACACCACCGTGACAACTGGACCAGGGCTCTCAGTGCCACGTCCAGTTTTTCCTTAAACACTTTCAGGGACGATGACTCCACCAGCTCCCTGGGCAGCCCGTTCCAGTGTTTAATCACCCTTTCTGGGAAGAAATTCTTCCTAATGTCCAGCTTGAACCTCGCCTGGCGCAGCTTGAGGCTGTGTCCTCTCGTCCTGTCGTTGGTTGCCTGGGAGAAGACCCCGAACCCCATCTGGCTACAACGTCCTTTCAGGGAGTTTAGAGAGTAATGAGGTCTCCCTGAGCCTCCCCTTCTCCAGGCTGAAGACCCCCAGCTCCCTCAGCCGCTCCTCATAGGACGTGCACTCCAGACCCTTCTCCTGCTCCGTCGCTCTTCTCTGAATCCTCTCCAGACTCTCAATGTCTTTCCTGAGTTGAGGGGCGCAGAACCGGTCACAGCACTCGCGGTGCGGCCTCACCAGTGCCCAGCACCGAGAGGCGATCCCTGCGCGGTCCCCGCAGCTCCCGGCACAGCCCGGTCCCGTTATCCCTTTGCCCCCTGCCCGGCCCGGCCCCTCCTGCCCTCGCCCTCCGCCAGGGGGCGCGCGCGCCGCGTGAGGGGGCGGCTGAGGGGCCGCGGCCCCGCCGGGTTCGCCGAGGGTCGAACCTTTGGCCTCAGCCCCTTTCGCTGCCTTGCACCGGCCCGCCCTGGCCGAGCCCGCCTTGTCTAGTGCCCCAGAGTTTGAATGATGGAGACGGGGCGTCTCGGTGTGACGGGAGCCGCGGGAGGTCCGCGGGAGACGGGCGAGGACGGTCCGGGGCCGGTCACCCCTCGGATATGGGGTGGCTGCTGTGAGGCCGCCACCTGCCCCCAGAGGGCTTTAACAGAGAGTCCAGCTCCTCCCCGGTGCTCCTGGAAGGGCTCTGCTGCCGCAGAAAACTCCAGAGTTTGTAGCTCCTTGGGCTCCAGGTACGGGGAGTTTGGGGATACGTGCTGACTGATGAAAACAGCTGAGGGAATTGTGGAACAGAGCTACTTCTTATTTCTGTCATGGTTTCCAAAGCTGTGGTCTGGGACATGGTCTGAGGAATCAGGGAGTGCTCTTTGCAAAGATCTGGTACGAGAAGAAACTGGGGAGAGGGGAATGGGGAGGATAAGGGAAAAGGTGTGAGGTGGGAGAAGAGCTCCAGCGAGGTCCCTGGAGTCAAGTCACACGGGAGCGCTGAGGCACTATTATAGATTAAGTGGGAACTCATTGCTAATTCAGAGTGGAAACATCTTCTTTAATGACCTTCATTCCACACAAAGAAAACAGTGATAAACCCAGTGGAAATCCTGTCCTGCATGATAAACTTCTGCCCTCTGAAATAGATGCCTGCTCTGCTGCTGTCTCCCCGTGGCTATTAACTCCTCTCTCCTTCACCTGTGATCCCATTTTCATGCTGTGTTTTTTTCTGAGAACTGCAGAATATGAGTTGAGTTGCCTGGGGAGAAAAAAGCACAAAGTCCAGTATGGACCTTTCTAAGAGGCCTTTTCTCTTGGGCCACGATCAAAGGGACTGGGAGCGGTTTGTCAGTTTTAAAGCTAATGCAGATAGAAGCATTTTCTCCATGAGAGGACTGCATTGCATTGATCTTTGCCATATTGCTCTGTGTTTTAGTATCCAAAAGGGGATCTAGCTGTCATCTGTTCCACTTGTCAATACAATGAGCTCCTAGGTGATAAGGTAGTCTCACATTTTTGAACAATATCAAAGTCCATGAAGATTCCCATTTATTTCCTTTGTGGGGTGAGGTCTCAGCTTAGCTGAGCAGGTTTATTTGCCTGCTGCCCTGGTGTTTGTGGTGGCATTCCCCATCCTGCCTTCTGACAGGGCTCGGGTTGCCCTATGCTGCTCAGGTTCCCTTTATCCATCCCTTCCCTTATTTCCTTCTTTTTGCAAAGGCACACTGGGCTCTGACAAGCAGAGCATGTGAGTGCACTCTGCCCTGTAATCCAATAGGACATGTGCACTGTGCATGCTACAGGCTGGGCCCTGTGCATAGCACAGGCCTCTGTTTTCGGTCCAGAAGGCTGATTAGGAGAGACACAGTACAGAGAGCAGTGCTGTGAGATAGCCTTGTCCTGCCTCATTTCACATAGGATATTGCCTTTAGTTCCCTGTTGTTGGTTTGGGGGATGCACAGAGCAGGCCTGAGCCACCACAGCTCCCTGTGCAGTCACTGCCTGTGTCAGTACAAGGTGCGTGAGTCCAGTCACACGTCGTGGTGTGCTGAGCTGATAGAACAGGACTGAAAAGGTTACAACATCTTTGCTTCTTTTTTTTTCCCACCTCCTCACTCTCATCCTCTGCCAGCTCTGCCGTATTGATCCAGTGTCAGGGATACAAGAAACTGCTGCAAGGGAGGGTGAGTTACACAGTCAAGGTGGGAAAGAACTGTCGCCTAAGAAAAGATCCCAGAGAGAAAAATCAGAAAATGCCATTTAAATAGAAGTGTGGATCAAGAGACCTGCCAAGTGAGAGGATGGATGTCTCTCCTGCAGATTTGCAGAGACAATGAGGCCTCAGGATAGCTTATCAAATAGAGATTATGGAGGACAGAGCATGTGAGGACAGAGGGAAATAATGTGCACTGTCTATAGATGTTAGAGACAATTTGTAAAGCAGTTTGAGAACTTTGGATATAAGATTCCCTATCAGAATAAGTGTTCACCAGTGACTGTCCCATAAAGTGGTGATGCTGGGGAGCTGCAAGAGGAATACTGAGGTGTTTTCCCAGCTCCCGTTTATTATGTGAGGTGGTGTGCCTGTGGAGGGCCTATTCCCAGTCAGTCTGGGTTTGCTCTTAGATTTCTCGGTTTTAGTTCACGTTTTCACATTTTACTGCAGGCTTGAAGGTCTAGACCCTCATTTTGGATTTACATGCCGCTCGTTATGTCCAGATTGTGGGTTAGATTGCATTTGTATTGTATGGAATTAATTGTGCTAATAATCTGTAATAGACACAATGCATATATTTTATTGTATGCACCCAGCTCTTAGAGTTTGTATGTATTTACTATGATTAAAACTATCAGCAAATGTGTCCGCTGTAAAAAAATATATTTTGGATGGGATGTTTCCATTTTGTGGATGAGGAAACTGAGGTACAGGGGGATTAAACAGTTTCTTCATAGAAAACAACTGTCAGTTTGGAGATGCAGAGCAAGGACATAATGTGAGTAGAACAAACCCATGTATTAGCACGTACTGTGTTGGAGTATAGGTTGTGCATGTTGCTCGTGCATAAAGTAGCCAAGTAATTACATTCTGAAGTAAAATTAGGATGCATTGATACTCCATCCTTGTGATACTACTGTGTGGCTAACACCATGATTTTTGATTCCCCTGGAAATACAGAACTGAATTTGCCATCAGGTGCAGTATCAGAGTTGGGGGTGACAACTATGTTTTTTTCCACTGGATGCACATTGCATCCCCAGATAACCCCACAGCCGAAAATACAAAACAATCTGGCTAAAATTAAAACTGCTTCTTAAATCCTGTCTGATGTTGCCCGAAGCTTTTTGTTCAGTTTATCTTCACAAGGTCACTGAGACAGAAGAGTGCATTCTGTGAGCCTGCTGGCCTGGAGCCTTTTTATGCAGATGCTTTCATTTAACATTTGGGACATTCTCCTTCTCCCTTTGGTCCCTTTTTACTCTCCCATTTTCTATATCTCTCTACTCCACCTTTCTGAGCTCAGGTTCCCTTGGATCAATACATGTAGGAATAAAAGCTATCCTTTTTTATCACCTTAACATGTAATCACCAGTCAGAGCTTTCTGGACACCCAAGCTGTCATGGGTCAGAGGCTGCTGGTCTGTCAGAGCTGCCACATGAGCTGCCACATGTGCTGCCTGCAGCACTGCCCTCATCTTTGCTGTCATCCTGCCACGTGGAGTAATTGTCTTGCAAAGCCGTGTGTTTGAAGCAAATTCTGCTTCTGCCTCTTTCAGGGCTTGCAGTGTGATCTTGGACTACTTGTTTGGGATAAAAATAGTAAATTCACATTTCTTTCTTCTCTCTTTTTTTTTTTTTTTAATAGTCAAGAACAGGACATTGCAGTTCAGATTAATAGGGACTGTGTGCTCTGAGAGACACCCCATGAGTTGTAAGGTGAGCTTCCATTAAGATATCGGAAATTGGAAGCCACTTTGGAAGATTGAAGCCAAATTTTAAGATCTGATAAAGGGAACAAGTATCTGTGAGTTTGGCACATGCTGTCTGGCATGAACACAGGATCAGGAGTCTCCTGTGCAGCAAAAACCAGCATGAGGGAAGAGCAGTGCAAAAAAGGTGATGTGCCGAGTGAGAAGCTGGCCCTAAAATTGTGAGCTTCATTTTCTCCAGCTCTACAACAGGAATAATTGCAAATACTTTACTCATAGATATATGTTAAATTTAGTAAACTGTCCACTTGAACGTTATTATTTATAAAATATAGTAAAACTGCTTCTCTAAATGAGAGATCTGTAGGCAGCACACTTCATTTGCAGCAAGCTGCTGCAAGAACAAAACAGCTGTTTCCAAATTAATTAATTAATTAAGGCAAGAACTAGAATATTATTTTAGATAGTTCAGGATTCTTTTCTCCTTCCTTTCTGCATTAGGGAACACAGACTGAATTTCGGGCCACATAGTTACTAAGTAATCTGCTGTAAAAAAACCCATATTTAATAGCTCCTTAACAGGGATGTTAAGATGGATTAATTATTCTTTGTTCTGGTCTCTGAAGATAAAGGGTAATTACTATTAATTATGTGTAATT